TAAGCCACGCCAGCTGGCCCAGATCATCTTCCTGAAGCCTGCTCTACCTGTGAACAATCTCACCTCAAGACACAAGGCCCAACTCAAATGCCACCTCCTCCAGGAAGCCTCTCTGGATCTCCTCAGTGTCCCTTGCCTCCCGGCCCCTTCTACCACTATTTTGGCCCTTCATCTCCACCAATATCCTGGCCTCTGTCTTGCAAGCGGGGACTGCATTTCTTACCGCTGCCTCCTCACAAGGTACCCAGCCCAGCCCTGGCCCACAGCACTTACTTAATGTGTGTGAAGTGAACTCAGCTCCTGGGGGAAGGAAAATGATAACAATAGTAATAATAATAGCTACCCTTCCTTGATCGTTAACCACAGGTCAGGCAGTGAACTTCATGGCTCATCACAGACGATGCAAACGAGGCCCAGGCAAGGAAGTGGCTTGTCCAGGGGTCACGCCGCTAATGAGAGGCAAAGCCAGGGTTTGAACTTGGGGTTGTCTGACTGCAAATGCATGTTGGGTCGTAGAGGTGGGAGCATGAGGGGTAGCCCCCCTAGCCCACTGCCTGTCTCCCCCAGCTGGGGAACTCGACCGCAGCACAACCCTCGCGGAGAAACCGGCACTGCCCCCTCCCGCTGCAATGCCCAGGCCTGGCTGAGCCTCTGCCAGGAGTCCAGCCCATGCAGCATGTCCATGGAGGGGTCCCAGGAGGAACGCACCTGCCCTCGTGGTGGGTGCAGTCAGTTTAGGGGACAAGGACCCCCTTCCTCTGCTGGCTGTGACCATTCATTCCCCAGATGTGCCCGGAGCACAGGCATCACTGTCTCGTTGACGCCTGCACAGGCAACAGGTGCCAATAGAGAGAATGGACTGGTGCTGGTGAGAGGCTCCCTCTGAAGGAGGGCCTCCAGGAGGAGGTGACCTTTCAAAACAGCCTTCAAGGATGTTCTGCCCAAGGGTGAGCCACCGATGCAGGTGAGCGAGGTGTCCGCCCGTGAGAAAAGTGAGGGCACGGAGCGTGGGTCAGCAGAGGCCAGGTGAGTCCACGGAAGAGCATTACGGGATGGACAGGGAAGTGAGTGGGTGAATGGCGGGGGTCAGGAAGGGGGTTAGGTGGGCAGGTGTGGGCAGTAGCTCGAGGAATGCCGAATGGGGAGAGTGGGTGGGTGGGTGGGTGGATCTATAGGTAGGTAAAATGGATGAGGGTGGAAGGATACATGGGTGTGTAGGTGATGGGTGGGTGGGAGTGAATGGATGGATGGACAGGGGTGTCAACAGTGGGTGAGCTGAGGGGTGGGTAAGTGGGTAGATGATTGAATGGGTGGGTCATAGGTCAATAGATGGATGGGTAAGGGGGTGGCTAAAGGGATGGGTAGAGGGGCGGGTAGATGAATACATAGGCATGTGGGCAGGGTAGATGGATGGATTAGCAATTGCATCTGGGGGTGGATGGACACTTATGAGATAGAGGACTGGGCAGAGAAATCAATGGCAAGATGCATAAACTGACCAAAAGCACAGCCAGGCTTTGGGGTGGAAAGGGTACATGCTCCCTAGGGCTGGGCTGGGGGCTGGTGGATGTGGCCAAGACAACTCGCTCAGCTCAAGGCCCCCACTCCAAACCTCACTGCAGCCTGGTGGGCAGCCACTGGCATTCTGGGTCCCCAAGGGGGAAGTTCCTCTCTCTAGCTGTGCCCTGCCCCCTTCATCTCAGCTCCACAGAGGACTCCTTCCCATAAGCCCCAGGCCTCGGCCCACCCAGCCTCAAGGGAGAGTTGAGGGGGCAGCTGAGTTCTGTGACTATGGCCTGAGGGGCCTTGTTCCTCCTGGACAGGGGAGGAGATGGGGGCTCCTGGCTCCAGGCAGCCAGTCCCACCTCTCAGCTCCCAGTCCCCAGCTGGCAGGCATTTGTTCTGCATTCTGCACTGTGATTACAGCTCTGCCAGGGTTAACCCCTGCGTTCCTGTGCACAGCCTCAGAGGAAGGAGGGCGACCACAGGAAATTGGGGGAGGAGGAAACCATGGAAAATGGGAATTGCCCATCCTACAGCCTTCATAGGGATGCCCAGACCCTCCCGTTCTCCCATTTTCCAGAGGGAAAAACTGAGTTGGATCCTTAAATCAAGAGTGTAGCCAGGCCCTCGCCGGTTTGGCTCACTGGATAGAGCATCGGCCTGGGGACTGAAGAGTCCCGGGTTCGATTCCGGTCAAGGGCATGTACCCTGGTTGTGGGCACATCCCCACTAGGGGGTGTGCAGGAGGCAGCTGATCGATGCTTCTCTCTTATCGATGTTTCTAACTCTCTATCCCTCTCCCTTCCTCTCTGTAAAAAATCAATAAAATATATTATAAAAAAAAAAAAAAAGAGTGTAGCCAGGAACAGGAACGCAGCCTGCATGGAGAGATACTCCTATCCGGAAACCAGGGATGAGCGCTCCTCTCAGCCTCAGTTTACCCATCTGTAAAGTGGGGCAAAGGATTCCTGACTCACAGCTTGCCTCACGGTGAGCTAACAGACAAGCATCTGACACATAGTAGAAGGTCCCCTGCCCACCCCCGGACCAGAGCTAAAGAGGACGGAGTGCGTCTGTGGCAGGTTGTAACCATTTTCGTTAAGACCACTTTCTCAGCTGTCTCTCTGGGGCTCGCAAGAAGTAGTAAATACCCACAAGTAGCCAATATCTGCACTGGAATTATACCCATTTTATAGACCAGAAACCTGAGGCTCAGAGAGGCTAAGTGCCTTGCCCAGGGTCACACAACGGCTGGGGAGCCAACGGCCAGGATTGGGTGCTGAGCCTCTGGCATCACAGCACACGCTTGCTTTGCCAGCTGCTCTGAGGACCCTCTGACTAGAGTGACATTAATTTATTGTCTGACCAGATCACCTTTTGAGAGGGAAAGGAAGTGCTATTAATAATCTCGCTGGGACAGTAGGCATCATCTGGAACTGTACTGAGCACACCAGGAAGTATGGACATCCTGCCACAGCGAGCGGCTTTGGGCGAGTCACTTAATTTCTCTGCAAAAGGGACATGATGGCAGGCGGTACCGTCCCGATGGGCTCCATGAGGATTCAGTGTGGTGACGCACAGGAGAGGCTGTAGGGCCAGGTACGCACTGATGCTCAACAAACGCTGGCATTACTCCTGCTATTAGTAGTCCCTGCTTCTGTTGGGGTCCAGCCCCAGCAGGTCCAGGGGTCCCCAAAGGTGTGGACGGAGTTGGCGAAGAATGAAGGACATGGAGACAGTGTTCAGGTGATCATCATGGCGAGGTTCTTTCTTTATTGTCCTGTTACATCTATATTTATACCATTTGATCCCATAAGCATGCCTCTATAATCACATCATGGTATGTTTTGGGTAACCTTCTACAGTTCCTTATTTCATTTCCATAGTTTCTTATCTGACCTTAGCCAAAAATCCTGTCTCTATCTAGTTCTGTTGATTTTAATCTTGTCTAGGTTAATCTCTGTGTTCCATTACAAGGGCTATTCCAAGGTCACTGCTCTACTAATAGGCTACAAGGAAGTGACTGAAGGAGATTCTCCTACCCAGTAAAGGTTATGTCCTCCCAGCCTCGCTGCTTGCCTTCCCTGGGACTGCCCTGTGTCCGTGGGTCTCCAGGGGTATAGGCTTTGGTGCTTTCCCTGGTGGGCAGACCCCTGGGGATGTGGGCCCAACAAGTCCCAAATTTATTGCCAACAGTCTTAGTCCAAGTTCTTCATCAGTAGTACATGGTATTTCTGTAACACTAGGGGGATTTACTGATTTATTCTCTTCCTTAGTCCTGTTAACCCCTAACCTGGGGAAACAACCTTTCTTGGGGAGGTGGTCCTGGTTAAAACACATAGCGCTACGAGGGGGAGCAAACATATGTTATATACGCCAGGTCCCTTGAAACATAAGCTGTGCAGATGTTTCTTCCCTGCAGCGACTGCGTCAAGCAGCAAGGGTGGACCGGCTCCCGGCATGCTTCCGTCACCGTCCGTCCAGTCCATTCTGTGCTCACACAAGAGCTTTCAAACGCACACCTGCCCTAGCCGGTTTGGCTCAGTGGATAGAGCATCAGCCTGTGAACCGAAAGGTCCCGGGTTCGAGTATGGTCAAGGGCACGTACCTCGGTTGCAGGCTTCTCCCCAGCCTGGGCCCTGGTCAGGGTGAGTGCAGGAGGCAAACCCATCGATATGTTTCTCTCACATCCATATTTCTCTCTGTCTTTCCTTCTCTCTTCCACTCGCTCTAAAAAGCAATGGAAATATATCGGAGGGTGAGGATTTAAAAAAACAAACAAAACAAAAAAACCCGCACACGTGATCACGCTGCCTGCTGGTCCCATCCCTGCCTCGGTGAGTGAGGCTGCACACCTGGCCCAACGTTAACCCCTCAGACCTGGCCCAGTTTCTCTCCCAGCCCTTGACCAGGGGTCCTCAAACTACGGCCCGCGGGCCACATGCGGCCCGCCAAAAACATTTCTCCGGCCCGCCGGGTGCTTTTGCCGCCGCTGTGTGCATAGGAATTTGTTCATAGTTTGTTTTTTTAAAATATAGTCCGGCCCTCCAACAGTCTGAGGGACAGTGAACTGGCCCCCTGTTTAAAAAGTTTGAGGACCCCTGCCCTTGACTGTGCCCACCACCACTGGCCCTCGGGGCAACCCCCCTCCTCCCTCACCCTCCTCTTCGGCACCTCTGAGACTATCCCGATCCTTCCTGAGACAAAGCCTGACCCCAGGAAAAGAGCGCACGGACAGGAGTCTCAGTCGTACCCCTGTGCCACTTAAGCAAGTGCTGGAATTCTCTGTGCCTCGGTTTCCCCGTTTTCCAGTTGTGCAAATAACCCCCTCCCCTGGCGGCCAGCGGGAGGATTCAGGAAGACAATGACAAAGCCCAGCACTCTGCACGCACCGTGTCTCCTCCACCCTCCACCTGTGGGTAAACAGGGCTCCTCGGCCCCAGCCAGGTCGGTGCTCAGACCGCTTCCTCCAGCCACGCCTGCCTCCTTCCTGGGGATCCTTGGCTCCAACCCTTGGCTGCTGCTCTCTCCTGCCAGGTGTGTGGGCACTTCACTGCCCTTCCCTCTGCCCATGTATCCCTTACAACTGGGGTATTACCTCCTCTGGTGACCTCAGTGAGCCCTCCCCTCTCCCGAGAGCCTGGTGGGGTCTCTGTGCAAGGACGGTGCCCAGGACTTCCTGCCTGTCCTTGGAGCTCACAGTCCCGGGGAGCAGCAGCGGGGAACAAAAAAACATGAAGCGGGAGTCGGAGATCTATCTCCCTCCTTGAGTAAGGCACCGGCGGATGCACAGCAGATTCCCTGACCTCAGGGGCGGGGGAGGGTGCTCAGTCCAGCTTTCTGACCCATCCATCTGAGGTGTGATCTCATTTACCTGTTCCGCAAGACTCCCAGGTGCTGACAGGGCAGAGCCCTTAGTAACATAACAGCTGATGCCTGCTTTAATCAGCCCATTTTACAGGTAGGGAAACAGAGGCTCTGAAAAGGTCAGCCATGGCCAGGGCAGAATAGGCAGGCACGCCGCTGGGTTTCAGGGTCCATGTCATTGAGACCACCACCCCAGACCACACCACTCTCAGCGGCCTGCCATGGCCTGTCCCCCAGTCGGGCTCAAGTCCGTGCCCTGGCACCTGCGGGGCCTCTATAGGATTGAAAGGAATGGGAGAAAGGGAGTGGCCACCCCAGCTGGCAGAACTCAAGGCCTAAGCTGGTCTCTGGCATTCAAGGCCTCCGAGGTCAGGCATCCCAGTTCCCCCAACGCCCCGCAGGAAGTGGCTGCAGAGCCCAGGAGGGAGTCGCCGAGGGCAGAGCGCCCCTGGGTCACGCACAGAGCGGCAGGGAGGGCTTGGCTGCAGACGCCCCGAGTCGCCCAGCCCGGACAACCCGCACATTCCCCGGCTCCTCCTGCCCGGGCGGCCGGCCTGGCGCCCCCGCCACTCCCCCTCCAGCTCTGGCCGCCGCCGGGGCGGCGTGCTGGGTGCCCGGGAGGGGCCCCGAGGGGGCCGGCCCCGCCCGCGGGCGGGAGGAGGGAGCGGGAGGAGGGCGCGCGCCCACACCCCGCCCCCGCCCCGGAGCCTGCCCGAGGAGCCCGCAGCCAGGGCGGCGCAGACCGGCCCAGCGACTCGCCCCAGCTGCGCGCCGGGACGCGCTGCCGCCACCGCCACCGCCACCGCCACCGCCACCGCGTCCGCTCCCACCCGCAGCCCCGGGGCGCGGAGAGAAGGTAACCGCGAGCCGGCCCGCAGGTCCCGGGGTGGGCGGGGACGCGGCGGGGGGACCCGGCGCCCCGGAGCCTCTGCACCCTCCTAGGCTCTCCGGGCCGGGGCGGTGAGGGCGCCCGGGTGCCAAAAGGAAGGCCTGGAGCGCTGGGCATGGAGCAGCGCGGGGACACTTCAAATTTGGGGTGGTTTTGCCATGTTCCCGCCTGGAGGAGAGGGGGGCAGAGATTTGGGGGGAACGGCACACGGGGTGGCAGGAGGAGGGGGCGAGCAGAGCGCCGTCTAAGCTCCTTCCTGCCTGGGAAGGGGAGGGACGGGGAGGGGGCCGTGTGTCGGAATGCCGGGCTCCTGGAGGCCGGCGCGGAGAGCGGGAAATGGGGGGAGCGCTGGGGAGATGGACGGAGCACCCTGCCCCCTCCCCAGCCGCTGCATTCCAGGCCGAGCAGCGGATGAGGTCATCCCGTCCGGTTCCCCTCGGGCCAAGCAGCCGGCTGTCCCCTGCCCACCCCCGGGAGCGACCCTCCGCGTTCTAACCGCTGCCCCGGGGCATGTTTTATGTCTGAAGTCTCTCCCGGACTTCCAATCCCGCTGCCCTCGACATAGTCTATTCCCGTCCCAACCGCGCAAGACGCGCGAAGTCTGAAGCCCGCGGTCTAGACGGGGAAACTGTGGCTCAGGGAGGCCCAGGGGCTGACCCGGGGCCACCGCGGCCCGGAGCGCGCGGGGATGCACCCGGCCTGTGGGGCTCGGCCCGCAGCCTCCCCTCGCCCAGGGAGGACTGACTTGGCTCTAACTTGGGGTGGAGGGGGCTGGAAGCGACTCCCCTACACACACACACACCCCGCTCCCAGCCCGGGTCCCCGCTGAGACTTCAGACAGCTTGCTACTCTTTTCTGGCCTCAGTTTCCACGTCTGTCCACCTTGAAGCGGCTGGCCTTTGAGAAGCCAACTACCCCCCCCCCCCCCGGAGTTGACCCCCTATTCCAGGGGCCCTAACCAAGGTAGGGTCCCGCTGCCCATCGGTTGGGGTCGTGTCACCCAGCAGGGAGGGGGCTGGTGCACGCGACTGGCCTCCAGGATGCGAGGTAGACGGCGCAGCCTGGGTGACTCCTAGGCGAGCTGAGCGCGGCCGCCCCCGAGCGCGCCTGGGCCACCCCCGCATCCAGACGCGCGCCCGGCCTCCCTTCCACCACATGTGTCTCCGCAGCGGCCCCTGTTGGCCGCTCCTAGTACACGGTCCCCGCCTGGGGCCTCAGACCTGGTCTTTGCGGTCTTTACCACCATTGAGTAAACGCCTGCCATGTGCTAGGGCCTGACTCTCCTCTGTGGGTAAATGTAAGGATTCCTGGGCCCCGGAGGCTGCTGGTGACCAGTCTTGCCTGAATGTATAGAGCTGCACCACCTGCCTCCCCGGCATGCCCTTCCCAGGCTGGGCGGCTGGCCAGGGTCCCCTCCAATTCCCCCTCACACCCTCCCCTGGCACTTACTGCGGATGTTGGGTGAATCCTGGGACGCTCCCAGCCACTCCGCTTTTTCTGCCTGTGGCCCTGGGCAAGCTAATTCCCTTCTGTGTCTTGTTTCTTCATCTGAAATGGATGTTGTGACCATTAGCAGGTAGTATTCCAAGGCTCAGGAAAGCAGGTAGCACTTGTACCAGGACACCCAGAGCCCTGCTTACTCCCGGGCCAGGCGGGGCGCCCGAGCGCCAGCAATGCCCTGTGGTCAGCGTCGAGTGCCCAACAGCTGCCACCACGAGTCCCTGAAATGAGAGAAGTTGGTATAGGATGTTGGATCTGAACCTAGAGCTACCCTGGCCCAGCGTCTGGGGTTTGATTACTACACCTTCCCCTCTTACAGGCTCCCAGGAGGGGCCAGCCTCAGTGCTGGTCTTGTTTTCCACGTGGGAAATACAGGTCTCCGGTATCGGTGTCCTGCCCTTGGCCCCACAGCATGGCAGGGTCTCTCTACTGCAGTGGCAGGAGGTGCCCAGAGGCACTTGGGAGGTGGGATCATCACCAGATCGGGGCACAAGCTGGTCTCCCACGTAAGTCCCAGTGGCCATGGGGGTTTGGCAGGAGCCCCTCTGGCTGAGAGGAGCAGCTGCTTCAAGAAGCCAGGAAGGCCCTAGCCGGATTGTCTCAGTGGATAGAGCGTCAGCCCCCAGACTGAAGGGTCCCAGGTTCGATTCTGGCCAAGGGCACATGCCTGGGTTTTGGGCTCAATCCCCAGTAGGGGGCGTGCAGGAGGCAGCTGATCAATGATTCTTTCTCATCATTGATGTTTCTCTCCCTCCCTCTTCCTTCCTCTCTGAAATCAATAAAAATATATTTAAATAGGAAAAAAAGAAGCCAGGAAGCTGGGGGGCTAGGAGAGAAGTGTGTGTGGCCACATAGCAGACACAGTAAGCCCTCCACATGACATTTCAAAGTGATCCCCCCACCCCAGTGTCTTCTTCCAGACATTCATCCCTCGTCTGCAGAGCAGGCAAACCTGGCCTATGCCATGTACCTGCCCTGTGACCTGCGCCAAGCCCCTTCCCTCGAACCTCGGCTCTCCCTGTGAGGTGGGCTGACCCTCCAGCCCTCGGGGAATCAGATGACATCACGTAATGGTTGGCCAACGGCAGCGCGCCTCACAACCACAGCAAACATTCCACGCGGACTTCTTGGTGCCAGTGGTGCCAGGGAAAGGGATGATTCAGAACAACCCGCCCCCCCAGGGGAGGAGTTAGGGTTGGGGGAGGATCAGATGGTGGGAAGGAAAGAGAATGTAGTCAGAAAACAAAGCAAGCTTTGTTTTATTGCCGCCTTTGTTTTTATCTTGTTATTTAACCTATTTTGAATTTCAAATAACATTCAAAGGGCAGTATTGAGATTTTTATGCTTGGAGGTGGCAGCAAAGTTATAAAAAAAAAAAAGTTGAGACCGGGATCTAGGTGTTCTTGTTAAAGACTATTATCAGTGTTTGCCAGCTGGAGTCCCAGGCACCTGGAGGTAAGTGACTTGCCCAAGGTCGCATGGTGAGGCCACGGAACCCCCCACCCACCCTCACTCGGAAGGGAGCAAGGGGTGATCTTTCAGCACGAAGGTTATCCTGTGGCACAAAGATCTCCTGATGAAACCGGTATTGGTTTAGCGCTTGCCACGTGCGGAGACCAAGCTGGGTGCTGGGAAGGAGGAAGGCAGGAAAATCCAGACAGGTGCCCCACCCTCCGCGTGCGCTGCCAATCTGGGGAGAGACAAGACTGGGCTCCGGGAGCCCGTCAAAGGCTCTGTGAGTCAGAGGCTCCGAGTTCAAGTCTCGACTAGCTCTCTCCATGTGACCTTGAGCAAGCTTGGCCTTCTCTGGGCCCCCGGAAGACAGAGGTCGGACCAGACAGAGGCCCGTAGGTGTCCTTCAGCCGCCGCTTTCTAAGATACTAGAAGGGATAGGGTCAGACCAAGAGGAGTTCAGAGAAGATTGGGGCTGTGGTGCCATCAGGAGGGGAGGCAGTGGGTAAGGGATAATGGCTTTTGGTGCCAGCTGAGCTTTTCCTAAACTCGTTCCCTGATGACAAGACTCCTACATCACTGAGACAAACTATGACCAAGTCCTTTCCTGCCGGCCTTCCCAGAGCCTCAGAGGCAGGAGACATCTGGAAAAAGCCACTTCTGACCACAGGATCCTTTTCTCAGGAAGCACCTTGAAGGCGGAGGGTCCTTCGGAACCTCTGCGTGGGCTGTTTACACAGCCATTCACAAAGGCTTTGACAGGCACCCCCTCCCTCCTGACCACTCGGACTGGCAGACAATTTAACCTACAGAGAAGCGGGGGACTTGCTCAACCCGCCCGCGGGAGGCAGTGTAGCTTGGGGTTCAAGGGATCTGGGTGGAGGGGGTCCTGCTTCACCATTTCCTCCTGTGTAGCCTCAGGCAAGTCATTTCACTTCTTTGCCTTCATTTCTCCCCTCTAATAGAGTGCTCCCTGGGGGCTGTTGTGTGAGTTAAATGAGTGATGAACATGTCATGGGCACTTAGTAGGTGCTTTATCAATGGGCCCTGTGTAATGACCACACACAGTGGAGGTGTACAGCCCTGTGAGTTTTTGTGCTCCCAGTCAATACCTGCTCAAAAGCAACCCCAACTCTGATGTCTGCCTCCGTTGCCCAGTTTTGCCTGCTCTTCCGTTTCCTGTCCATGGGCTCACACCGTGTGTCCTCCTCTGTGAGGGTCAGCACTTCGTCGGTGCTCCCCACACCTGTTGTCAGCGGTCAGCGTGTTCTCTTTGGCGGTTCTTATTTGGCCCCAGGGTCCCCAGGCCTCCCATCACCTCTCTGTCTTTCTCTCAGGTCTCCAGCTGGACGGGAGAGGGGCTGTCCACTAGGCGTGCCTACCCTGTCCTTGGACAGAACATTGACAGCTGATTCCACGGGGCCAGGAGCCAGGCCTCAGGGAGAGACCAGCCATGGGCCCCCCACAGCCTCAGCATTTGGGAGCAGCACCTTAGGAAAACAGGAGCAGCCTCCGTCCACCCTTTACACCGAGAAGAAGGGACCTGCCACGGACCCACCGCCTGTCCCGGGCCCCAGCTGGGCATGGACCAGCACCTGTGACCTGCCAGAGCTGATGCCGGGCCCCCAGGGGGGCAGAGGGACCCCCACCATGAGCCTGGGCAAGCTCTCACCCGTCGGCTGGGTGTCCAGCTCGCACGGGAAGAGGCGGCTGACTGCAGACATGATCAGCCCCCCACTCGGGGACTTCCGGCACACCATGCACGTAGGCCGAGGCGGGGACGTCTTTGGCGACACCTCCTTCCTCAGCAACCACGGGGGCAGCTCCGGGGGCACCCACCGTTCGCCCCGCAGCTTCCTGGCCAAGAAGCTGCAGCAGGTGCGCAGGGTGGGGGCCCTGCCCCGGCGGATAGCTTCCCCGCCGTCGGCCTCGCCTGCTCCGCCCGCCGTCTCCCCCATCATCAAGAACGCCATCTCCCTGCCCCAGCTCAACCAGGCCGCCTACGACAGCCTCGACAGCCTCATGGTGAGCAAGCTCAGCTTCAACAGCAGCCCCGCCAGCGCCGCGGACGGCCACTCCAGTTATGGTGAGCGCCTGGGCGATCTGCCTGTTTTCCCGACGCTGAGACCCAGAGGGTTGAATGGTTCAACCAAGCCTCCAAGTGAGCTCTTTTCCCCATAGTCGTGCGGTCTCACCATGGAGGTCAGGCCCAAACCCCAGACCGTGGAGGGGGAGGGGTCAGAGGGTGGGAACCAGCCGTCTCCCCAAAATACACAGACAAACCTGGACAACCACTCATGTGGACAGACGCCAGAGGCCCTTCCTGCTTGGTGGGGAGGGAGAGGCAGATGCTGTCTTGGTGCCACTGGGCAGCTCACCTGGGAACCAGGGTTCTGGTTCCTGCTGCCACCTCGTGGCCATTCCCTGCCCCGCAGCCTTGCCCCACCGCCAGCGGTTGCCTCCAGTGCTCCCGCTGCGCTGCGGGTCTCTGCTCAGAACCCCACTCAGGGCTGGAGCCAGGGGCTGGACTTCCCGAGGCATCCGTTGAGTCTGTGACTTCTAGGCAGTCAGACCCTGGCTGCTGGTTTCATCACTGTGACCAGCCCACCTTCAGCATCAGCCACACGCCAGGAGAGCAGGGACACGGCCGAGGTCACAGTGGGAACTGAGACTGGGGGAGATCTGAGCTTCAGGCTGGGTTCTGCCGCCTCAGACTGTGGCCCCGGGCAAGCCCTTCCCCTCGGAGCCTCACTTTCTTCATCTGCAAAATGGGAATGAGGATCGTGTCCGTTGTCAGCTTCCAGGACCACATGAGCGACTACTGGGCTCCCTGTATTGGAAAGATGGGAGGAACTGAGTCCAGAGCGGGGAGGGACTTGCTAGACAGAGGGCGCATAGCAAGCGGGGTGGCTCCTGGCTCTCCCCTCCCCGGGTGCTGGTCAGGGACCCCAGCCCTGACCCCGCTTCCCATTTCCCTTCTAGGTCTGGACTCTGGGTTCTGCACTATCTCCCGCGTGGCTCGCCCGGAAAAGCCTCGTGACCGAGACCATGACAGTGCCTTCCCCTCCGAACCTGAGCTTCGCCGCTCTGACTCCCTCCAGTCCTTCCGCCTGGACCTCGACCTTGGGCCATCTCTCCTCAGTGAGCTGCTGGGGGTCATGAGCCTCTCAGAAGGCTCTGCAGCTGAGACTCCAGCCCCAGCCCCTGCTGCAAACCCCCCAGCCCCTGCCTCAAGCCCCCCAGCCCCTGCCTCAAGCCCCCCACCCCCTGCCGCAAGCCCCCCAGCCCCTGCCGCAAGCCCTCCACCCCGTGGACGCTGCCCCAATGGGGTAACTGCTGGGTTTGGCCCAGTGGCTGAGGCGAGGGCCAGCCCCGTAGGTGAGTGTCCCCGGGCGCCTGCTGACATGGCCCCTGGCAGGCACTGGGGAGCCGGCTGGAGTGGCAGCCGGGGCAGCCGCCACTACACTGAGATGGATGCTCGGCAGGAGCTGGTGAAGGTGCTGCCCCAGGGTCGGGCCTCTTGGGAGAGCCTGGATGAAGAGTGGGGAGCACCCCAGGCAGGCAGCCGGGCCCCTGTGCCCAGCACGGTGCAAGCCAACACCTTCGAGTTCGCCGACGCTGAGGAGGACGATGAGGTCAAGGTGTGAGCAGCTGAGCGTGGGCTCAGGACCCCGCCCAGCCTCCGGCCACTCACTGCCCTCAAGAGCCCAGGTGCAGAGCTCGCCCTCACCTGACACCTGGGTCCTGCTGATGAGGGATGGAGAGCCCACACTGCCCCCAAACCCTCCACGCCTCTGCTGGACAGACATGGGAGCGAGGCCAGGCCGGTGCTGGGACCTGGGTGTTCCCGAGGACCCTGCCGGGCTGACCTGCTTCCCCCCACTGCCGCTCTGGACCCCGTGGCCCTGCCTCCGGCCCCGCCCCCACCGGCTGGAGGGCCGGCCTCACAGAGCCGCCTTTGTGTGGGGAAGCTGTCCTTGCTGGGTGGGGGGTAGGGAGCATACCACACAGGGCCTCTGTCTCCTCCCAAAGGGGCCGCCTGCCCACTCATCCTGGAGCTTCCCCAACGTGCCCACCCCAAGCCCCCCTTGTCCCAGAAGCCTCGAGGTGAAATCAGGTGTGACCCCACCTTCTTGTGCACCCCAGACCTGCCTCCGGGTTCCGATTAAAAAGGCTTTGTGAGACCCGGTTCCTGCGCGATGTTTGGGGACCTGGGAGTACGGTGTCGGCTCCACCTGCTTCCATGCCCTCAGCATTGGGTTTGGAAGCCAAGGACCCCCTAGGGCCCCAGCGCACTCAGGGGCCGAGAGGGTAATGAGTAACCAGGCTGGAAGGAATGTTCCTGCGATAAGAGGCCCAGGTGGGAGCCCTTATCTGCAGTTCCGGGAACAGCCCCTGGCCCAGGTGCCTGGATCCGTCCCTGCCTCTAATCCCACGGGGCAGCTCGGCACTTGCCCTGGTGATAACAGGGCGGGCGGGCAGGCGGCAGTGGGTGCTCAGAGGTGTTCGGAAGGGTGTCCCAACTCCGGCGGGGCAGTCCTATGCCCTGGTGCCTCAGTTTCCTCCTCTATCATTAAAATGCATGGGGAACACTAACCAGTTTCTGCCACAGAAAGACTGGAGAAAGGTGGATTCTTCTTTTCTTTTTTTAAATATGGTATTCTCTTTTTTTTCGATTTTTTTTTTTTTTTTAGAGAGAGGAAGGGAGAGGGAGAGAAACATCCAATCGGCTGCCTCTTGCACACCCCCTACTGGGGATTGAGCCTGCAACTGGGCATGTGCCCTGAACCAGTGACCGCCTGGTTCATGCCACTGAGCCACACCAGCTGGACAAAGGTGGATTCTTAAATTGGCCTTAGCCTTGGGGGAGGAGAGGGGTCAGAGGGGCAGGGAGTGCAGGTGGGGAGCCAGGACCCAGGGGCTGCTGAGCCCGTGTGACTGGGAAGGAGCTCAGGATGGGAAGTCGGGGCGAGGGTTCTGTCGTTCCCGTGAGCGCCCGCCCACTCAGTCAAGCTTGGAGGAGGAGATGTTGAACCCACTCGGCACTCAGGGAGCTCAGGTGGCCGTGGCCCAGCCTGTCGGGAAAGGCCAACCGGTGCCTGTCTGGCAGCTTCACCTTGAATCTGTCACTCTCGAAGGTCACGGTGAACTGCAGGGGAGGACAGGTGTCGGGGAGGCAGGAGGCACCCTGGAGATGGGCCAAGGCAGGGCGCGGTGGCTCAAGCACGGTCTAGCCCAGGGCTCCCTACCATCTGGGCTCTCCCTTTGGCACTGTCCTCAGGCCCCTTTCCCCTGTGACCTCACCTTGACCTCTGACCCTGGGCTGAAGCACAAGTGATCTTCCCAGTTGCTGCCCTCCAGTGAGTTGCAGACAATGGTGGGTTGAAATGCAGGTCCAGCTTCTCTGTGCCCTGGCCCGGATTAGTCACAAAGCTGCGGTGGATGGGGGGACGGGGGAGGGCACGGAGGGAGACAGAGGGGCTGGGGGAGGATTAGGGGCCAGTCCTGGGTAACACAGCTTGCGTTGCAGGATCTTAGTAAACCACAAGCTGGAAGAGTCACCGAAGAAAGTTGTTTATGGAGGTCTGTGCCTTAAAACAAGGGAGGTGCCAACTCGGTCCGACTTGGCAGTGGGTGTCACATGGCACTAGAAGCACAGGACTGCAGTACGGACGGGTAACTGGCAGGGCCGGTGTCTGCAGCTGAGAGTGTCCATCGTGGGGGAGAGAATTGTCCTTGCTACTGAAGACCTATCAAGTTTGACCATAAACAGTTGTCAAGCAAGGCGGGGAGCTCCCTGTCCCGAGAAGTATGCGATCAGGGTTGTGTGACTCCTGGGGGCAGTCACTACAGAAGCCGGGGTTAGACCTTCGGAGTCCCTGGGCGTGGGAGGTCTCAGGCCAGCGGTATCCCACTTCCCTGCAACCTGGAGGGACCCAAGTAGGGAAAAGGGGTGCGTTTTCTCTCGGCCCCTTTCCCGTGCACCTGCCTGTCCCCTCCCCAACCGAAAGGTGATGGTGGTCAGTTCCAAGAAGTGCTGACGTTCTACACACACAGGAGCCTGGTGCTGAGCTGTAACCCTCCAGGTGGATAAACATCTGCTTCTGATGGAGAGGATGCGAACGAAGCCACTTGGCGCCCCCTGGTGGCTGCCTCTGGTTTAACGTGGCTAAAGGCTGGCCTGCCCCTCAGCTGGGTGAAGAGGGTGGGTCCTGGGGTTTAGCTTTCAGTAGAGACACCTGGCTCACGGGCTGGGCAGCGCATCCACCTTCAAGCTGGTTGGGAGATTTCGAGACCGTGTGCGTGAAGCCGCACGCATAGACAAGGCCTGGCACAGACTCAGCAAACTGAGGGGCGACCTTCATTCTGGTTACTTACCGTGAGCCAGGCTCAGGGGGTGCAGCTGGGCAATAGGGGTGCTGTGGGATTGTACAGGCCCAGCATCCCTGTCTCCCCTCAACAAAGTCTGAGGCCCGGAGAGAGAATGGGAGGCAAAGCTGGGGTGGGGTGTGGGTGGTCCAGGCCTAGTGCCCGCTTTGTCCCTAACTGGCTGAGTGACCTGAGGCCAGCTGTGCCCCTTTCTGGTCCTCGGTTGCCCCATCCTATATAATGAAAAGGTAATATGCAAATTAACCCTCACACCCTCACAAGATGGCTGCCTACGACCAGGTCGGCAGGGGGGTTAGTGAGGGACGACCAAACGACTGAACAGCAGGCTGCGTGGGGTGACCGGAGAGGTGCGGGGGAGCAGTTAGGGGCGACCAGGCAGGCAGGTGAGCGATTAGGAACCAGTGGTCCAGGATTGTGTCCCCCCAAGGGGTCCCGGATTGGAGAGGATGCAGGCTGGGCTGAGGGGACCATACCCCCATGCACAAATTTTGTGCACCGGGCCTCTAGTCTATAATATATGAGACTTGGCCTAGATGGTCTTTGGAGAGGGAGGAAAGAGAGGGGACGGGTGAGATGACCAGGAGAAGAAGAAAGTCGGGAAAGCGTCTGGGCCCAAGGGTCCTCCCTGAGAGGCAGAGAGCATCCCTCCCGCCCTGGACCCTCCATCACACCACACTCTCACCCCACCTGTACTGGCTTGAATGGGTTTCCCAAAAATCAGGTCCAGCTGGACCCTGTGAATGGAGCCTATTTGGAAATTGGGTCTTTGCTGATGTAAGCAGGTTAAGATCAAGTGCGATTGGCTAGGGTGGGCCCTAAATCCAATAGGACTGGTGACCTTATAAAAGGAGGGAAATTTGGAGCCAGAAACACAGGCGGAGGAGAAAGCCACGTGAAGACGGAGGCACAGACTGAGAGCTTAGCCACAAGCCAAGGACGCCCCCACCAGAAGCTGGAAGAGATCAGAAAGGGTCCCCCTCTAGAGACCTCAGGGCGAGTGCGGCCCTGCCCACACCTCCACGTCAGACCTCCGGCCTCCAAAACTGTCAAAGAAGACATTCGTTATGGCCGACACGGAAACTGACACACCACCCAGTGCTCAGAAAGGGTGGTCTGCGATCCAAGTCCCCAAACACAGGGTTCTGCAGCTCCGAGAGGGCAGTGACTCATCCAGGCCACACAGCAAGCTAAGGCACCGCCAGGCTTGAAATCAAAAGATCAGGAACCTCACTGTTCCTCCACTCACCCCCTGCGATTGACAGATTATAACCTTGGACAATTTAATCTCCGAGCCTCCGGTTCTTCGTCTTCATAAAGCTCAATAGGTGTTAGCAGTTATTATTGTCACTGCTATTAATATGACTGATGAGCAGCCCTAGCCAGGTAGCTCAGTTGGTTAGAGCATCGTCCTGGTATGCCAAGGTTGCCGGTTCGGTCCCCTGTCAGGGCACAAACAAGGAGCAACCAACGAATGCATAAATGGATAAATAAGTGGAACAGCAAATCTTTCTCTCTCTCTCTTCCCTTCACCCCCCCCTCAAATCAATAAATAAAATTTAAAGAAAATGAAAAAATGTATTACTGGATCTAGCTGGTTTGGCTCAGTGGATAGAGTGTCGGCCTGCTGACTGAAGGGTCCCAGGTTTGATTCCAGTCAAGGGCACATGCCTGGGTTGCAGGCTTGGTCCCCCGTAGGGGCCAACAATCAATGATTCTCTCTCATCATTGATGTTTCTATCTCTCTCTCCCTCTCCCTTCTGCTCTGAAATCAATAAAAATATATTTTTAAAAGAAATGTATTACTGATGAGCAAACTAAGGCCAGAGAGGGGAAGAGACAGGCTGGGCGCGGTGGTGGAGGAAGCAGAGGGCCTGGATGCTGAAGGGCTGGGAGACCATCTGCCCAACTTCCTCACTATACGGACGGAAGGACGGACAGGCGGGGCAACTGAGGCCTGGAGAGAGACAGTGGCACTTTCCCCTCGCAACCCCCTCCCCATCCCCATTCAGGTGAAGGTGTGGATGGCGGAGAAGCCAGCATTCTCACCGACATGGCAGCGGCTCCCAAAGGCCACTCGCAGTGCCTGGAGGCCTGGGCTCAGGGTCTCACCTCCCGGTCCAGCTTATCTCCTAGAATATTACACATTAACTCCCCCAAGGCCATAAATGGGGACTTTGGTCCCCTCTTCCCAGGTCCCCAGAACAAGCAGCCAGAAGGCTCCTCACCGGGCCCAGCCCACCCAGCCCAGAGCATCCTCCAGGCTCCCCCAGCGGGGACAGAGCGGGACTGGGTGTCAGGAGGCAGTCACACACGCTGTGAGCTTGGCAGGCCCCCCAGCGTCCCTGAGCCCTGCGTCCTCGTCCTCACACAGAGCTACAGAGCTACGCGCTTTGTAAAGACGCTCTATGTTGCTCATTGTCTATGATGTCAAAATTCACTTTAAAGTCTTTTGTTCTGTTTCCTCCCCTTACCCCATGACTTTTCTGATTGTACATGGAAGTTTTTAAAAATGTTTTTATTGATTTTGTTAGAGAGAGGAGGGGTGGGGGAGAGAAACATCAATAGGCTCCCTCCTGCACCCCCCTACTGGGGATCAAGCCCACAACCCGGGGCATGTGCCCTGACCAGGAATAGAACCTGCAGCCTCCTGGTGCACTCCACCACCAGGGCCACACCGGCCGGGGCTGCACATTTGCAAGCAATGCCCAGTGGCCCTGGCCAGTGTGGCTCAGTAGATAGAGCATCAGCCTGCGGACTGAAGGGTCTCGGGTTCGATTCCGGTTAAGAGCACATGCCTGGGTTGCAAGCTCAATCCTCAGTAGGGGGCGGGCAGGAAGCAGCCAATCAATGATTCTTTCATCATTGATGTTTCTATCTCTCTCTCCCTCTCCCTTCCTCTCTGAAATCAATAAAAGTATATTTAAAAATAAATAAAATAAAAGCAGTACCCAGTGGATGGGAGAAAAACCCCACACACTCATCTAGAAGTATCTACAACAAAGTGTTAAAAAGTGGAGAAGGGAGTGAGAGGGCTGAGGCTGGGGTTGCTAGGGCTTTACATGCTTGGCTCTCTACTTCTATTCTTGTTTTTTTTAACTTCTATTGCTTATCGACATGCTCACCACAGGCAATAAGAGCCATCAATTAAGGGGAAAAACAGCGCTGATCACCCCACCGTCAGGAAAAACCTGCTTACGCTGCTGGCATTGGTGGTTTTTCATGGATTGATATCCTCGACCCCCCTGTAGCTGAGCCTCCTTCATTCAGCAAACGTGAACGCCCACAAATCTGTATTTCAGAGCTGTATGTTCATGGCACCTTCCAAGGCCTAGATTTATTCAACCCGTTTCCTTCTGCTCAATACTTACATTAATCCTAAATGTCTGCTATTACATCGGCTGCTGCATTAAATCTATTTGCACAGAAAGGTTGGCTGCATCTGACAACTTATTCAGGGCGGGTTCCCAGAGTAGGGTTTTTCGAGAGCCCTGGTTTGGCGAGCCGGAGCCTTTTCCATTGGAGCTGGCGGGGGCCCTGGGCGGTGCCGGGAGGCTGGCCCACTCAGGGCCCTCCTGTGCCAGGAGCTGCAGGGTGGCTCGCTGCCCGGTGCTTACACAGGACACCACCTGCAGTCCCCTGCCCGCCCCACCCCCACCCCCACCCCGAGAGGAGAGCCGTTTCCTCGTTTTCTCCACAAGGAAATGAATTCCTTCTCGGCCTTTCTCCCAGGGCCACGGGGAGGCCCAAGCAAGATAAGGAGTGTTCAAATGCTTTACACACAGAAACTCTCCGATCAACAGAAACTACACCTTGTAAAGCTGGTCTTTTTCTGATTACAAGAGTAATTCTAGCTCCCTGGAGAAGGTTTGGGAAAGCGCACAAAGTGAAAAAACTTAGAAGTTCACTTGTTTTCAAAAAAAAATGTTTAAAGACAAGGGACACATTTCTGAATTGTGTACTTTTCTGTGTGTAAGTTTTACATCAATGAATGGTATTTAGGAAGAAAGAAAGGAAGAGAGAGAGAGAGAGAGAGAGAGAGAGAGAGAGAGAAAGGGAGGGAGGAAGGGAGGGAGGGAGGGAGGGAGGAAGGAAGGAGGGAGGGAGGAGGGAGGAGGAAGGGAGGAAGGAAGGAAGGAAGGAGGGAGGAGGGAGGGAGGGAGGGAGGAAGGAGGAAGGGAGGAGGAAGGAGGAAGGAAGGGAGGGAGGGAAGGAGGGGCGGAGGGAGGGCGGAGGAGGGAAGAGGAGGAGGAGGGAGGGAGGAGGGAGGAAGAGGGGAGGAAGAGGGAGGAGGGAGGAGGACAGGCAGGAGGAATAAGGGAGGAGGAAGGAGAAGGGAGGAGGAAGAAGGAAGGGAAATCATTTTCTAGCCCGGCCGGCGTGGCTCAGTGGTTGAGTGTCGACCTATGAGCCAGGAGGTCACAGTTTGATTCCTGGTCAGGGCACACGCCTGGGTTGCGGGCTCGATCCCCAGTGGGGGGTGTGCAGTGGGCAGCCAATCCATGATTCTCTCTCATCATTGATGTTTCTATCTCTCTCTCCCACTCCCTTCCTCTCTGAAATCAATAAAAATACTTTTTTAAAAAAGAAAGAAAATCGCCCTGCCGGTTTGGCTCAGTGGATAGAGCGTCGGCCTGCGGACTGAAAGGTCCCAGGTTCGATTCCGGCCAAGGGCATGTACCTGGGTTGCGGGCACATCCCCAGTAGGAGATGTGCAGGAAGCAGCTGATCGATGTTTCTTTCCCATCGATGTTTGTAACTCTATCCCTCTCCGTTCCTCTCTGTAAAAAATCAATAAAAATATTTTTTTTTAAAAGAAAATCACCTACCCTCACATCTCCAACCCTATTCTCTTAGCAATGCCTAATGCCTCCCTCTGAACCATGTACAGCACTTTTCCAGCCCTCATCACAGGCTCAACACAGTCTCAAG